AAAAATGGACGCTTCCCAAATTAAATGTGACCTACATAATCTACATCATGCCTGTGAACAAGTGCCATCAGAGGTTTGATCACTATCGAGGCGGCATGCAAACTTCAGACTGGGCACCTAAGTTGCACGATTATTATGCCCATTCTCTCAATAAATTTTGGTGCATTGCGAACCAGGGACACAATCCGATTATAAAACACGCTTCATCATTAAGCTTTGACGTAGTTTTTTTTAAATATGTCCTTAACCTAAGCGTGTGTTTCTTTGAATACTGGCCCCACGGTCGCCATGGCCGAGAATCGGATCCGCTTATTAGCCTCTTGGCTACCACGGCGGTGCCAATCAATCCGGTGCACGATAAATAAGGGAAGTATGCACTCTCTGGGCATGTTCATTTCCGTGTTCTGCAACAGCATCACGAATCGCCGAAAGCAGCAATTTCGTTCACCCTGACAAACCTCCTTTCGCAACAAGTGTCAACATCAATGTTGAGCGACAAAGCATATGTAGCCTGTACGTGTTAACGCGTGGTGTACGCGCTGAAGAAAACAAAAAAAAAATGCTGGGACAGCAGTGGTGCAAAGACTTCGGAAACAGCAAAGCTGCTGACCTTTTGCTGCTATTTTCTCTCCTTCTCTCCATGACTTCTCTTTCCACACCCTTGCTATAAAACAGTACACATGGCTATATGCTATGCTTTCTTTCTCTCCTTGACTCCTTCTCTTCTCTTCCCCCCCTCTCTCTCTGATCTTTATACTCCCCCTTCCCATTCTCCCAGCGTAGGGTAGCAAACCGGGCATGTGCCTGGTTAACCTCGCTGCCTTCTCTCTTGTTCTAGTCCTCCGTCTTGTTTCGACCTGTCTGTATTTCTTTGCTTCTTTCCTTGCTTTCCCTCGATACCTTCCTCGTTCTGTCACCGATAGCAACGCAATCGTATACGGTTCGCATAAAAGCTTATTCTGCTAGCGTGCCTGAATAGCCGAGTACAATAAAGAGAGAAAAACCAGGATAGCCACATGGTTACGACGCTCATCTTAAAGACGTGAGTACACGGGTTCGAATCCCGCACCTCACCAAGAAATTCAATTTTTTTTACTTATTAATTCACTGCTTTTCAGTGCTCCCTCTTTTCCTTCTCGAACGTTCTCTCTCTCACTCTCTCTCTCTCTCTCTGTACTCGTTCTCTGCGCAAATCCGAGTAATTATATCCGTGTAAGAGTGGAGCAGGAGATGATGACGGGCCATGTCATTGCGTTGCGTGCGCTAAACTTTCACAAGGTCGTTCATGATGATGATGATCGTTTCTGTTCGCTACTAACGGCGTTTTTTTTTTTTTCGAGCTAACAAACAGCGATGCTGTCAAAAACGACGGCGCATTCGTCGACAGCAACAACATTAGCGCTCGTACAAGTTGCCAGTGCGAGGCACGCGCGAAAAATAAGCCTGGTTCGAGAGCATCAATAAACAACTGCTTTCGAGGGTCCTGCTGATACACCCGTGTCTCGACAAGACCTCTGGAAAACGGCCTTTGCCTTTCCTCTGTGCATTATTTCCACTGTGATCGTTTTAGATAGCGACTCGGGCTGTATTCAGTGCTACCGATTACTGTTTCCATGTGCAACGTGGCCCCCCTCCCCCTCCCCCCAGATATAGTAAAACCAAGCAGCTCAGCTAAATACGTCTGCACAGTGATATCAATGCTGGCTTTCCTGAACTTCCGATAAATAGGCTACGATATGGGTCTTGGAATAACCGGCTCGTTACTTCGGTTAAGCTGAAGAGCAGTCGAGTGGCTACTGGAGGATAAACCCTTCAACGTTACCGAGGTCTCTTCAAAATACGTCGCATCATACAAACTATAGTTGTAACTGCAGAATTCATAGGATTTATTCTGACTAATATAACAATATTTCGCGTCTCCCGAGCCAAAACCACGATATCATTATGGTACGCCGTAGTGGAGGACTTCAAAATTTTGTACGATCTGGTGTTCCTTAAAGGGGTGGTTGCCATCAAGTTTCTGCCTTTCGCGTGCTTTGTTGTAAATGTTTATTATTACTCTGGGAAGCGTGATACACGCTCCAAGGATATCGTATTCTCGCTAAATAACATGATATCACGTTATTCATATGAACGACTTCCGGTTTTTGGTGTTTGGGCGCCGAACTGGACAGCGTCGTCACACTGTGGGAAGCTTGCACACGTGGGCCCAGAAAACTGTGACGCACACGGTGCAGCGTCATATCTCTCTCTCTCTCTCTCTCTCTCTCTCTCTCTCTCTCTCTCACACACACACACACACACACACACACACACACACACACACACACACACACCACACACACACACACACACACACACACACACACACACACACACACACACACACACTAGCGACCATCCGGATGTCTTGCGAACTCGCTAAAATCGACATATTGTGACGTTTCATGCTACCGCAAGCTGGTATGCCACATAAAGCAAGCAGGTGTGCGAACAAAATAAAATAAGTGCTAAGCTCAAACAATGTGAACCGTTCATGATGGCTCGGTAGAAGTAAATGAGCTGTGTAATATATAGTGAGCCGATTGCATAGTATTCCGTAGCCAATGCGCATCTTGACCCGTCACTCTACCGAACCGTGCCGCAGCACCGTAGTCAGTCTTTGACGCGTGAGTTGCTTGTATTGCCATACATTTGTCATCTCTCGTACCGTATCGGAGTCTTTCGGGGCCAAAGACTATGGTGGCTGGTTAGCGGTGCACTGTCAGCCACAAGTGGTGCTCCATGCAAATCCGGCCAGCGTCGCGTCCTCCGGGGAGGAAGCGAGCTGGCTGCGGGGCAACGTGCGCGTTCCCATATGAACAGGGCAGGCGAGAGAAAAAAAAACACAGGAAGCCCTGCGGGCGGAAGCAGCTTCTCGGCGATCCATCAGCGACACGTCACGACCAACCCGGCAGACACAACGACGACAGCGCCCTCGTAAGGCCGGGCAGGTATACAAGCTACGGTCACGCGTGGTTCAAGAGCGCGACAGCACTGTACGGGGGTTCACGTGAGTGGGAAACGTGATTGTGCGTAGGAGCAACGAATAGAAAAAGAATAACAATGGATGAATTAGATAAACAAGCAATTAAATACACAAGCGCACGTCCTCGCCTATAATAAGGTGATCTGATCATAATTAAAACTGTACTGAACTTTCAACTACATTCACTCTTCACATCACATCATCAGGCATCTTTAAGGAAACGCAACACCACTTTCGTTGCCTCTCGGAACTGGAATGGGCAGCGCCATATGGTCCCAATACCTTTCTCGACAGTGAAATCATTTTTGTCTAGTTGATTTAGAACACTACAGTGGTGAATGAAGCCTCTCTTTCGTGTATGCCGAGTGCTACATAAAAGGTGTTCAATAATTACTTTTTTTCAGACAGTTACTGTTAAAGACAGTTACTTTTTTTCTCTTCCTCTTTATAACTTCCCTTCCCCCTCTTCCCTTGCCCAGTGCGAAGTAGCCTACCGGGGCTTAGCCCTAGTTGACATTCCTGCCTTTCTCCGTATTCTCGTTCTCTCTCTTTTTTTTTTTTAATTTTCAACCATATATTTTATTATATATACGTTGTCTATGTGTTTCGAGCTGTCGATTCATTTGTCCTCGCACTGCCATTTGCTAGCTAGCCTCTTGCATGATTATTCAACAGGCAAAGCGACCGCCCTGGACAGGCGTTTGTCTCCGGGCCAACATCGACGCCCTTATATTTCAGAGCAAATTTTCCATTAAAAGAAAAAAGAAACTGCACCTTTTCGAGAAGTTCATATAAATTTCCTTATACATTTGTCCTACAAGCTGGGGAAGATATGGAATTTTCTGTTTCATGCAATATGGTTCAATGAATTTCTGCAGAATCAAGTAAGTATCGAGGCTATTCATGTTAAAACACTGGTCGTGAAAACACGGACGCAGGAGAAACGTCAAGACACGACAAACGTTTCTCTCATGTGTGCGTGTTTGCGCGCCGAATGTTAGGCGTAAATTCACGTTAAGAAACCTGTCTTATCGTGAATGTACGCATAATGAAATGAATCGATCGGACCCCTTTACATAATCTACAAGTGCGCCTCCCTGCGCTGCCCATTCACCCAGCTAATGGCGGCACATACAATGCTTTTAGTAAACAAGAGGTCCTATAGTTTCACGTGCTGGTGCTCGTCTATCATTCATTCCAAATCTGAACAGTAAATTTTAAAACCACTCGATTCTTGGCCAATCCCCCACAGTGGGTATGCGCCACTAACAATAGGAGATCATCATCATCATCATCATCGTCTATCATGCGTGCTTATATCGAGAGAGCTGCGTCTACTTCTTTCCGTGCCACAGCGCAGGCAAAGTGCGCTTGAACACGCTGTTCTCAAGAGCGACGAGCAGCCACTAGTCAGGCTACCTGCATCGCAGGAAAGCTAGGTTTACAAATATGAAAAGGGTGTATTTGATTAAGGAAAGCGTATTTCGACGGTTTTTGGTTCCAATCGCACCAACGGAAAGGGCGATTTTTCCGGTCACTTCAATTCATTTCAACTTATGTCACAATTAGTGCAGTACAGTTAAAAACATATGGTTTCCTTTACCGGGCCATCTGTTCAATTAATTATGACGAATAAATAAAAGATGACACTTGTACAACAAATTTCCTTCTTTCGTTCGCATGGAGAGATGCATGAAAACGAGTTCGAGCTCCAACTCGACCCGTTTAGTGGTGTAGTACACTCTAGTAGTGTTCAAGTAAGCGAAGCCTACGCGGCTCGCGCTGTAGTCCTGTTACACTTATATCGCAACATTCCCGGTCACCTGCGAAACGGTGGGATGGCGCGAACACAAGGCAAGCGGACACCTTCGCGGAAAAAAAAAAAAAAGACGTCACCCGCTGCGAGCAGCAAGGCCCACCGCCACAACACAGAACGCTAGAGAAGCCATCACGAAGCGATCGAGCAGCTTACTTTGCTGATGTCGTCCATGCTGCTCACTCGACCATTGGAGTCGCCGCCGCGGCTCGACCGAGACGACTTAGGAGTGGGGCTCTGGAAGGTTCGGTTCGTGTTTGCAGGAGCAGGGAGGGTAGGGTGGACAAAGAACAGACAACATTCAGAGCACGAACAAAGACACAAGGCGCACAAGGACACACGCGCGGTTTTCAATTACACGATAGACAGAAAGAAAATAAATAAAACACGCATGCGCACATCAAACAAGACAAGTGGCAAGGAAATGAACAGCACTACAACACAGCACGTGACGCACACTATAGTCAATGCACGACCACAGATATACCAGCATACAAGCACAGCCACGTCACGCGCAGTGCGGAGAAACTGGATGGCTTTGCGGAAATCTTAATGCTGTTTTGATTGACGAACAAATAACAAAGTAAGTTGGATAATGCGGTCCATTCTTTGAGTACACCCACACTATACTAAGAAGAGAGATGACACCTGCCCACCATGACGCGCCGGTCGTGTATGCCATCATTCACAAAAAAAGAACACATCAAAACGAGCTCGTTATTCCGTCGTTGTGCGAGGAATTCCTTAAGGCGACGTATCGATAGAAGTTTAGATTAAGAAAAGGAAGGCGGCTTTCTTAAGATATAATTGATTGATATGTGGGGTTTAACGTCCCAAAACCACCACATGATTATGAGAGAGGCAGTAGTGGAGGGCTCCGGAAATTCTGACCACCTGGCGTTCTTTAACGTGCACCAAAATTTGAGCAACACAAGCCTACAGCATTTTCGCCTCCATCGAAAACGCAGCCGCCGCAGCCGGGATTTGATCCCGGGACCTGCGGGTCAGCAGCCGAGAACCTTAGTCACTATAGACCACCGCGGCGGGGCGTTTCTTGAGACATCATCATCATCATCATCCTGACTACGTCCACTGCAGGACAAAGGCCTCTCTTATTTTCTGCCAGTTAACCCGGTCCTGCGCTTGCTGCTGCCAATTTATACCCGCAAACTTCTTAATCTCGTCTGCCCACCTAACCTTCTGTCTCCCCCTAACCCGCTTCCCTTCTCTCCGAATCCAGTTAGTTACCCTTAATGACCAGCGGTTGTCCTGTCTACGCGCTACATGCCCGGCCCATGTCCATTTCCTCTTCTTTATTTCAACTATGATATCCTTCACCCCCGTTTGTCCCCTAATCCACTCTGCTCTCTTCTTGTCTCTTAAGGTTACACCTACCATTTTTCTTTCAATTGCTCGCTGCGTAGTTCTCAATTTAAGATATATGCGATACCATTTCAGGGACCAAAGAGGTTTTGATCCTCAAGCGGAACGCAGGCGCCGACCCCTCATCCCGAACTGTTCTCATATCGGAGGTCCAAGAGCAGCCCAATAATAAACTTCTGGCAACAAGTAACGCAGCCGGCAACTCAAGGGGACATTCTATAACGAAAATTGAAGCCTGCAGTGAGAAAGACGTGACGCGGGCCCAAAGACTACGCAGCGTAAGCGCACCAATAGACATACGCGCACGTAAACTCAAGCCCGACAAAAAACAAAGAACAAAACAAAAAGGTGAAGCGTCCAGCGGAGGAAAAAGAAAAGAAAAGTGAGGACGGAATGGGCCGACCGCGGAGTGGTGCGGCCACCGATATTACACGAGCTTTCGCAGAGGTAAACGGCGCCGCGGCACGGAGAGAGCGAGGAGCATTAATCCGAGATTTACAGTGCACTCCCGGCAAACGCCGGCATGCGGACACACCGAGCTCGCGGCGGCGCATTTGGGAGGCAAAATAGACTGCCGCCGTCCCACCCGCTCAGCCAAGGTCAGCTCACAAACTGACCGAGCTACCGGACCTGAGGATTGCGGGACAGCTTCGGCGGCGGGGGTCGCGCTTCAAAAGCCCGTGGAGCGGACGCAGGGCCGTTACGAAACCTCGGCTCACGCAACTTCACTTGCCCTTAAGGTAAACACTAAATACGTTGAGATCGGTAAATGAAGTCTGCAAGAACTCTACTGCCATTGTTCCTGCCATCATATGCTCGTTACTAAACAAAAATTAAATTTTATTTATCTTATCCTCCTTTTCCAGTTTCGAGCCGCGACTCTCCTAAGTGTCACTCTACGCAGCGAATTCCAAGGTCTTTCATTTCTTTCTTCTTTGCATTTTCATTATCGCGCTTGTGGCGTGATGCCTCTCAGAACGCAGTGTGATGCACTTTTACCCCCAAAAAAAGAAAAAAAAAGCCGCCCGCGTTTCGCCACGGGGGGAACCGGAGTAAATGCGTCGCAGAGTGGCGGGGGCATCGCGTGAGTGTTGCGTAGTTGGGCATGTTTTGGGAATGCTTAATTGTTATTTCATCTATTATTCTTATTTATTGAATGAAAGAGAAGCGTTGCCTTCAACGAGGGGTGGTACGGTAACGTGGATCCAGTGCCTACATATACGGCGTGGCCAGTGAACTGTTGCGCAGCACGCGCGAGTAGTCGGTTTTTACTAGCAGACGATGCATGCACCGGCGTTGCGAGGCGAGAGAGAAGGGAGAGGGGGAGTGACAGTTGGCACGAGAAACGAGGCGCGAGCATGCGCAGTGGGGTATGCGAGTAGGTTCCGCATTCAAAATGGTGACGTAAGCCAAAGAGACACCGTAAAGATTAGGGACGTCGTGATGAGTTGGCGCTGGACAAGGTCACGCTAGCGGGACCCTCAAAGCAGCGCGTCGCCACGAGTTCTCTCACTGCACGTTTAATAAGGAGTAATATCGTGGCACAAGGGCGGCAATAGCGCCGTTATTAGGCGTTGTGAAGGAGCATTCAATGCGGGAGCACCAGTTGCCCTGCTTGCTGTTTGTGTAGATTCACGCCATGCACGCGGAAGACGGCACCCTGTTCGTCGTGTAAGCATACATTAAGGCAGTAACCTTCGCGCAAGCAAAAACAAAAATTGCGTAAAGGCACAAGAGGCTAAGCTTTTCATGCATTCACTAATCGATTGATTATCTATAGCAACCAAGTCAAAGAATGAAAGCACAGCCCTTATTTTCAGAACATCACTTCAGCTCAAGCAATACACAAAACAGAGTCTAATTAGGCGCTAAAATGACTTCATATACTGAGATAACACATATATGAGAAAAAGTTTTTAAACGACTGGTGCTTAAGTATGCCAGAGTGGACAACGCTAGCTACTAGCTTTCGGAGCGCTTTACGAAGCAAAATGATAGTCTGTATGCGATGCCAACTCACTGCGGTGGAGTCAGCGTCGGTAAAAGTCGAGATACGGCCGCTCCGTTTCCTATAGTGCCTACTTCCCTCTCGTCGACAAACAAGGCGACCGCGCGCGTGTTTATATTGCGCGTATACACCTGAGGAATGTATACAAGATGCCGCCGTCGCACTATAGAGACTTGTCGCAGCAGTGCCCAGCACTTCTTTTCTTCTCCAATCACAAGTTCCGGCTGCGCCTTATGAACGCAAGACGTCATCATCGCAATGAATTTGGAAAACACACGAAACAGCCACAGTTATGAGTAAGGAAGCAGGAAAGGGGTGTATAAGAGTCAGCGGAGAGTGCGGGCGCATGAAACTGGCAGTAGTTTGTCTCAAACACTTGAGGCTTTAACATGAAAGCGTTTTATGCAGGGTCCACCACGGCTCTCTGACGTACTTGCGTCACGGAAGTGACGTTCAAAACATATGTGCTAAGAGATTTTTTTCCCCTTTTTGGCAGAAGCAAATCGTATTTGATCGCTGATGTAGCACTGCCCCAACATGTGAGCGTGGATATCATCATCGTAATCAGTCTATCAAGTGTCCATTGGACCACGAAGGCCTCTCCCAATAATCTCCAACTCGTCGGCATACCCGGCATTACCCTCCCATCGCGACATCCAGGCTCGCTTCAAGTAACAATCTCCGCGTAACTACTGTTTGTAGCAGTCACGCCCAAAGAAGCAGGCGTCCGCAAATGCATTCACAAAGGACCCACGGGACAGCGATGAAGCGGCCGACCAGCGAGCGAGACAGCGAGAAGGCAGTCTTTCTATTACGGGAAATGTTCCAACGCACCTCGCATTGTACGCAGACACACAAGATGAAACACCCGTTCTTGCTAGCTGCTTCAAGCGCGCGCCTCGCCCCCTTTGTGATCACGCTTCGGTATAATGCGGAGAAGCATAGATGCGGGAGACCCGGAGTGATGGATGGCGCCTGGCTCGGAAGTCGGCAGCTCGGAAAAGGAGACATCATCCAAGCCAAGAAAGCGCTGACCAGTGGCACAAAGGGCATCAACAGGTGCGTCTCTCCGCGAGAGAAACAGCGCGGAACACGACGCGCTGCAAGCGCATGAAGTTGACCGACGAACGAGCCGGTGTCCACGGCATCTAATTTCATTTTCGTTTATTTGGGCAGTTTCACAAAATGCCCACCAAGGGGCGGGTAGAGTCTCTGTTTCCTGATTGGCCCGCTCAACGTGACGCACTTCAGGCAGGTGCGGCAAGACAAAACACTTAGATATACAATAATGTACCTCGATGTACATTGTTGTATATCTCTATGCCGTACATGCATAGAGATACACAACATAGAGACTATCTCCATGCCTATACCTGTATATCTCTTGGCGTACCTGCCTGAAGCAGAGATATGAAGTACGAAAATCGGGGAAGATCAAGATTATTGGTCAGTCTATTTTCCATCTCGCGACACGATGATTGAGCACGAAATCGACCGTCACGTGGTCAACCGTTATTTGGCGTCCGAGTACGTGAACCGGTCCACAAGTAAATGAAAGCAAGTGAACCATCGCGAAAATATTAGTGCGTTACTAAGATTTTATGACAGAAACGTGCGAGAAGGAAATACAAGCAATGTTGAAATGCAACGTTTTCCCTTTCAAAGTGACAGACTACGTATCCTTTAAATATCACCTACAGCGACTTGTACGCTGTGTTCTGTAGGCTGAAACTTGAAGCTTATAGTGCAGAAACTAAGGCCTAAATGCATGCACCACTCCTCCGAGGAAAACGGTGAGCCCTAGTTCAATCAACAAAAGGCCGACTTAGAAACAAAAAAGGAAAAT